CATATTTAGTCCAGCAAGATGTTGATGGGATGACCTCACAGGTTTAGGTTGAGTCTAAAATGAGGAACGAATGTCCCTCCTGCCCTGTTTGAAGTATCCATCATTTCCTAAAACATTGCCTCCAAATAGATCCTGTCACACAACATCTGTTCAATGAGACGTTATGAGAAGAGTCCTACTTCCCGGTCCCATGACAAACCAACTCAAGCGGCTGCTCTTTGGTGGTCCTTTTATTTTTCTTTTGAAGAAGCCCTGAATTTACAAGCTATTTCTGTTCGGTCTGACTCAATAAAACCATATTCAAAGGCCAGTTGAAGGTACATCTAATGCAGCGTGCTGTCCCACATAATACACCCCAAACTGTAGGATTCTCTGTCTGATGGCACATCTGCCTGATTATGTCAGAGCACACAGACGGCATGGGCAGATAGCATCTAATCTCTGCATTAGCAGCCCGCTGCCCTCCCCTGTAGGTGGAAAACCACACATCCGACTTTTATCAGAGTCCATGGAGCTGCAAATAGCATCAAAGTGAGATGGTGTATTAGCTCCTAGCCTCTAGGCCCAGATCTCTCTGCAGAGGGAGGCATGCCCTCTAATGGGACCATAGAGGTTCCCAGGTGTGGGTGGATGATACAGCAGCAGCCATTCAACACTTCCTCACTTTCCTTGATAGGTCCTCTCTTGGTCCTTGGCTGGTTGTTGGAGGGTCCTTCACTGGTCCTCGGTTGGTCCTTGGTTGGTCCTTGGCTGGTTCTTGGCTGGTTCTTGGCTGGTTCTTGGATGGCCCTTGGCTGGTTCTTGGATGGTCCTTGGCTGGTTCTTGGCTGTTTGTTGGATGGCCCTTGGATGGTCCTTGGTTGGTCCTTGGCTGGTTCTTGGCTGGTCCTTGGCTGGTTCTTGGCTGGTCCTTGCCTGTTACTTGGATGGTCCTTGCCTGTTTCTTGGATGGTGGTCCTTGGCTGGTTCTTGGCTGGTCCTTGGCTGGTTCTTGGCTGGTCCTTGCCTGTTACTTGGATGGTCCTTGCCTGTTTCTTGGATGGTGGTCCTTGGCTGGTTCTTGGCTGGTTCTTGGATGGTCCTTGGCTGGTTCTTGGCTGGTTCTTGGCTCGTCCTGGTTGGTCCTTGGCTGGTCCTTGGCTGGTTCTTGGCTGGTCTTTGGCTGGTCCTTGGCTGGTTCTTGGCTGGTCCTTGCCTGTTACTTGGATGGTCCTTGCCTGTTTCTTGGATGGTCCTTAGCTGGTCCTTGGCTGGTTCTTGGATGGTCCTTGGCTGGTCCTTTGATGGTTCTTGGATGGTCCTTGGCTGGTCCTTGGCTGGTTCTTGGATGGTCCTTGGCTGGTTCTTGGCTGGTCCTTGTCTGGTCCTTGGCTGGTTCTTGGATGGTCCTTGGCTGGTCCTTGGCTGGTTCTTGGATGGTACTTGCCTGTTTCTTGGATGGTCCTTGGCTGGTTCTTGGATGGTCCTTGGCTGGTCCTTGGCTGGTTCTTGGATCGTCCTTGGCTGGTTCTTGGATGGTCCATGGCTGGTCCTTGGCTGGTTCTTGGATGGTCCTTGGCTGGTCCTTTGCTGGTTCCTGGCTGGTCCTTTGCTGGTTCCTGGCTGGTCCTTTGCTGGTTCCTGGCTGGTCCTTAGCTGCTTGTTGGTTGGTCCCCTACAATTCCTTTTTAAACATCTAAAATATTCTTTCTGTCCTGATTTGTGGACATTTAGATCTAAAGATCAGCGCCATCTCCTGGTCAGACCCTGTGATTCAGAGAAAGATGGAGTCAGAGTAATAAAACCTGCAGGCCAGGAGAAGGCCAGTGGACGGAAGTTCTTTTCAATTCAGTTCAGTTTATTTCTATAGCAGCGATTTACAACACATATCAAACATACACTAAGTTATCACACCAGTATATTTAGATGAATGCCAACAACAACAAACCATTATAAAAACAAAACATGATGTCATGAACAGCTTTACATTTTGTCCATAAATCTTGTCCTTCTGAGGCTGTGAAGGTAGATCTTTAATTTGTGTGGTCCACTATGATGTCACCAAGCTAAAGAAATAATGAACCAGTTCACTAATGGAGAATCTATTGGTCAGCATTATATGTCCTTAATATATAAAAACTATTTATTCCGTCAGATGGGTGCGGCCCGTGCTGGTCGGTTAGCCATTGGGGGGGGGTGGGGGGGGGGGGGGGGGGGGGGGGATTGTTCAATAAGCTTCTCCCTGAAATGAGTTCTGGGAACTTGGGACGTCTGTGCTGGTGATAAAGATCTGATCCAGTCAGAGAGCCTAACCGATTAACTCCAGTATGCGAGCGTAGCACGGACTGTAAATCAACATCTATATATAAATCTGGCTAGCATGTTATTTCAGCTGCTGTCAGCACGATAACGCCGCTGGGCGCAGGAGGACAAGGCCTCTGTGTTTAGAGCGGAGAGGGACAGACACGTCTGCAGAGACCCTGGATCCATGGACAGTATGAAGGTATAAAGAGCTACCGGTGGAAGAAGGGAGAGAACTGGGTTCTCTGGTGGCCCAGATGGTCTCCATCCACTCCCAGCAGGGGGGGGGGGTCCTAAACTTCAAACCGAACAATGCTGCAGTTCATTAAGCAGATCAAGGCCTTCAGCACATAATGCTGCTCTTGTGGAGCATCCGGCATGTTCTCCTGATCTTATCAGAGGGAAGTCCCGCGCTCTGGGGGAATAAAGGTGTTTCTATTCTTCCTCTGGTCAGATTTTGGCGTAAAGGCTTTCATCTTTTCCAGAGGCTCTTCGCGTCATCCAACAGCGACGATTTCAGGCCGCTCCGCACGGCGGACGGAGCGGAACAAGATGGAGGACGAGCCGCCGCTCCCCCTGGAGACGGTCGGCAGATATGAAGGTGCAGAGACGCGCTGTGATTCAGCACAAATATCACTGCGATCAAAAGATCAGGAAAATCTCCAGGAAAGAATTCCTGATTCCGTTGGACGACATGAAGAGGCTTTGAAAAGGCAGCTGCGTTTTCCACTTCCTGGCGTTTATAGCCGCAAACGATGCTTTCGCACGCACTATTAGCGGAGCGTCTTTCTGTCTGACAGATTTTCCCGACCCGTGGATCGTAGCGATATTTAGCTGAATCGCAACATGTCCCAGGATGTTTATATTTGCGAACCCTCGCAGGTCGGAGCTGTCAGTCGTTAACCAAGGTTAGCCGCGGCATATTTACAGATCGTTGCGCTGAAGAGCGGCGTGGACGCAAAAGTGACGTCATTTGGAATAAACCATCATTACTAGATACGATCTAGATTGTCCGACGCTAGGGTTGGAACTTTTGCAGCTTTTTTTGCCCGTATGCGAACTGTCGGATATCCAATCCACATCCGATCTTTTTGTGACTGAGCGACACAGATCCGATTTTTTCCAATGCTAGCCACGCCACTTGGCTCTGTGGTCCTGAATCCGATACGACAGAGATTTAAAGATATGTGTACAAATATAGACATGGAATGAGAATGATTTGTTTCTGTATATAGTAACTTAACTACTGTGAAAATTAGTTTATTTTCAGGAAGTTAAAGTCAATTAAAACTGATTCTGAGCCGCTGACCTCCCCAAGATGGCGCCGCCAAATGACGTAAGGCCCCATGGGTGAAAGCGATCGAAGCACAGGGGTCGCAAACAGAAATATGATGACACTACCCTTTTTTAAAAGGATAAATATGAAATAAAAAACTCTACTGAAATAATAAACACCTTCTCCAAAGCTTCAGGTTTAACTTTAAATCTAAACAAATGTGAAACACTTTCCATTAAATCTCATTTTAAGGGTACATTCATCAACATTCCTATAAAAGAAAAAAATCACAATAATTAAAGATCAAAATATAAGATCGACTGAAAATTTTAACCCCTTAATTAAAATAGTTGAACGACGATTTAATCTATGGCTCCATAGATCTTTCTCTTTATTCATTATTAGTCAACGCTGACGGAATATCTAGACTTATTAATCAAATGCTGTTAAGCTGCTCATCTTTTATACAAATAAATATTAAATCTGGAATAATGAATGAAAAATAAAAAAAATTAGACAATCTTTTATAGAAAATGGTTTGATAGCGGAATATTATTGCCAATTACTAAATCCAAAGGGTCATTTATTGTCTTATTCTGACTTTATGTCACTTGTCCAATTTCCTGTTACCCGTAAAGAAAATGCTGCTGAGATTGACGCTGTTCCCAGTGGCTCCTTAAATCTTTTATCATCTTTACGCACACATCAGATTTACTCATTGATCCAAATTCCATTTATATTGATTATTATTTTCCTTTTATAAGTAAGAAAACAACCAACAAAAGTTTATGAAATATTCCATTACGAGATGTTGGTTTTTTTCACCTGCTTGTGTATTTTATTGGTCCAATACTTTTGAACATAGCAATTGGGAGTGGACTTCCTTAAAAAATACTTAATAAACAATAAAGTAAGAGAAATTTCTTATAAAATGATTAATAATAATATGGGATTTGGATCCAATGTGTACTTTTTGTAAAACTAATGAAGAAAAGCTTATTAATCTTTTTGGGATTACAGTTATACCTAAATATTCTGGTAACATGTGAATAAAACTTTAAGAGCTGATATTCTGTTTGGGACGGAGAAATTTTGTTAAAACAGAATTTTTATGTTAGAATTTTTCATTATTTATGGTAAATATCTTATTCACATCTCCAAATATTTACAACAAAAACCTAATTTCCACATTCTATTATTAATATCTACATAGAATCCTTAAAATGTAGTTAAAATGCTGAATCCAAATCCCATAAATAATTTTTATAACCCTCCAGCAAAGATTTAATTTGAACATTTTTAAATAACTGTTCTGTTCTGTAAAGCCTTTGTTTGTGTGTTTGTTTGTAATTAATAATGTTCCACTCCGTTAATTTGTTCTTTTTAGCAATAAAAGCACTGGGGTGTGCTGCTTAAACGCTCCGGGGGGAAACGGTTACCAAATGCACCGAGACATCATCAGATGGTTCCGGATCCGTCAGGATCCATCAGACACGGCTCTCCGCTGGAGGCGCTGGGCCGAACCGAACCATCTGGACCCCTGCCTCCGCGGAGCTGCGGGGGCGGAACCACGGAGCGGTTAAAGAGGTGCGGGCGGAGAGCCGGAGCCATTTGACCGCTGCGCCGCTGAGGGATGGGGCTGCTGTCCGGACTGGTTCCGCTGCTCCGCCTCTACCTGTGCGGGATCCGGGTTCTGCTCTACCAGATGTTCCACCGATCCTTTGAGATGCCAGGTCAGAACCTCTGGGTCCCACTGGGCTCAGGAGACAGATGTTGGTGCTTCCGGGACCAGAACCAGCCTGTCCTCCTTCTCTGCAGAACTGCCCAGACAGGAAGGAAGGGTTGCCATAGTGACGGGCGGAACCAGAGGAATGGGCTTTGAGACTGCCCGCCAGCTGGCTGCTCTGGGCATGCACGTCATCATAGGTAGGTCCATCAGAACCTTCTGGTCCAGGTGTCCGGGTCAGAACCAGAGGGTCCAGCAGCCAACCAGCCTGTCTGATCTGCTTCACCTGCAGCCGGAAACCAGGCAGCAGAGGGCGCCATGGCAACCAGGACCATCAACCGGGAATGTGGGGACACCAGAGGTGCCCTGTCCATCCGTCTGTCTGTCCACCTGTCCTACTGTCCAGCTGTCTGGCTGTTAACCTGTCTGTCTGTCTACCTGTCTGTCTGTCCACCTGTCTGACTGTCCATCTGTCTGACTGTCCACCTGTCCTACTGTCCACCGTTCCTTTTGTCCACCCGTCTGACTGTCCACCTGTCCTACTGTCCACCTGTCTGTCCACTTGTCTGTTTGTCCACCCGTCTGACTGTCCACCTGTCCATCTGTCTGACTGTCCACCTGTCCATCTGTCTGACTGTCCACCTGTCCTACTGTCCACCTGTCTGTCCACCTGTCTGTTTGTCCACCCGTCTGACTGTCCACCTGTCCTACTGTCTACCTGTCTGTTTGTCCACCCGTCTGACTGTCCACCTGTCCTACTGTCCAGCTGTCTGGCTGTTAACCTGTCTGTCTGTCTACCTGTCTGTCTGTCCACCTGTCTGACTGTCCATCTGTCTGACTGTCCACCTGTCCTACTGTCCACCGTTCTGTTTGTCCACCCGTCTGACTGTCCACCTGTCCTACTGTCCACCTGTCTGTCCACTTGTCTGTTTGTCCACCCGTCTGACTGTCCACCTGTCCATCTGTCTGACTGTCCACCTGTCCATCTGTCTGACTGTCCACCTGTCCTACTGTCCACCTGTCTGTCCACCTGTCTGTTTGTCCACCCGTCTGACTGTCCACCTGTCCTACTGTCTACCTGTCTGTTTGTCCACCCGTCTGACTGTCCACCTGTCCTACTGTCCAGCTGTCTGGCTGTTAACCTGTCTGTCTGTCAATCTGTCTGACTGTCCACCTGTCCTACTGTCCACCATTCTGTTTGTCCACCCGTCTGACTGTCCACCTGTCCTACTGTCCACCTGTCTGTCCACTTGTCTGTTTGTCCACCCGTCTGACTGTCCACCTGTCCATCTGTCTGACTGTCCACCTGTCCATCTGTCTGACTGTCCACCTGTCCTACTGTCCACCTGTCTGTCCACCTGTCTGTTTGTCCACCCGTCTGACTGTCTACCTGTCTGTCTGTCCACCTGTCTGACTGTCAATCTGTCTGACTGTCCACCTGTCCTACTGTCCACCATTCTGTTTGTCCACCCGTCTGACTGTCCACCTGTCCTACTGTCCACCTGTCTGTCCACTTGTCTGTTTGTCCACCCGTCTGACTGTCCACCTGTCCATCTGTCTGACTGTCCACCTGTCCATCTGTCTGACTGTCCACCTGTCCTACTGTCCACCTGTCTGTCCACCTGTCTGTTTGTCCACCCGTCTGACTGTCCACCTGTCTGTTTGTCCACCCGTCTGACTGTCCACCTGTCCTACTGTCTACCTGTCTGTTTGTCCACCCGTCTGACTGTCCACCTGTCCTACTGTCCACCTGTCCGTCCACCTGTCCTACTGTCCACCTGTCTGTTTGTCCACCTGTCCACTGTCCACCTGTCTGTTTGTCCACCCGTCTGACTGTCCACCTGTCCTACTGTCCACCTGTCCGTCCACCTGTCTGTCTGTCCACCTGTCTGTTTGTCCACCTGTCTGACTGTCCACCTGTCCTACTGTCCACCTGTCTGTTTGTCCACCCGTCTGACTGTCCACCTGTCCTACTGTCCACCTGTCTGTTTGTCAACCCGTCTGACTGTCCACCTGTCCTACTGTCCACCCGTCTGACTGTCCACCTGTCCTACTGTCCACCTGTCCGTCCACCTGTCTGTCTGTCCACCTGTCTGTTTGTCCACCTGTCTGACTGTCCATCTGTCCTACTGTCCACCTGTCCGTCCACCTGTCTGTCTGTCCACCTGTCTGTTTGTCCACCCGTCTGACTGTCCACCTGTCCTACTGTCCACCTGTCTGTTTGTCCACCCGTCTGACTGTCCACCTGTCCTACTGTCCACCTGTCCGTCCACCTGTCCTACTGTCCACCTGTCTGTTTGTCCACCTGTCTTACTGTCCACCTGTCTGTTTTTCCACCTGTCTGACTGTCCACCTGTCCTACTGTCCACCTGTCTGTTTGTCCACCCGTCTGACTGTCCACCTGTCCTACTGTCCACCTGTCTGTCCTACTGTCTGACTGTCCACCTGTCTGTATGTCCACCTGTCCTACTGTCCACCTGTCTGTTTGTCCACCCATCTGACTGTCCACCTGTCCATCTGTCTGACTGTCCACCTGTCCTACTGTCCACCTGTCTGTTTGTCCACCCGTCTGACTGTCCACCTGTCCATCTGTCTGACTGTCCACCTGTCCTACTGTCCACCTGTCTGTCCACCTGTCTGTTTGTCCACCCGTCTGACTGTCCACCTGTCCATCTGTCTGACTGTCCACCTGTCCTACTGTCCACCTGTCTGTCCACCTGTCTGTTTGTCCACCCGTCTGACTGTCCACTTGTCCTACCGTCCACCTGTCTGTCCACCTGTCCTACTGTCCACCTGTCTGTCCACCTGTCTGTTTGTCCACCCGTCTGACTGTCCACCTGTCCTACTGTCTGACTGTCCACCTGTCTGTCTGTCCACCTGTCCTACTGTCCACCTGTCTGTCCACCTGTCCTACTGTCCACCTGTCCTACTGTCCACCTGTCTGTCCACTTGTCTGTTTGTCCACCCGTCTGACTGTCCACCTGTCCATCTGTCTGACTGTCCACCTGTCCATCTGTCTGACTGTCCATCTGTCTGACTGTCCATCTGTCCATCTGTCTGACTGTCCACCTGTCCTACTGTCCACCTGTCCTACTGTCCACCTGTCTGTCCACTTGTCTGTTTGTCCACCCGTCTGACTGTCCACCTGTCCATCTGTCTGACTGTCCTACTGTCTGACTGTCCACCTGTCTGTCTGTCCACTTGTCCTACCGTCCACCTGTCTGTCCACCTGTCCTACTGTCCACCTGTCCTACTGTCCACCTGTCTGTCCACATGTCTGTTTGTCCACCCGTCTGACTGACCACCTGTCCTACTGTCTGACTGTCCACCTGTCTGTCTGTCCACTTGTCCTACCGTCCACCTGTCTGTCCACCTGTCTGTCTGTCCACCTGTCCTACTGTCCACCTGTCTGTCCACCTGTCCTACTGTCCACCCGTCCTACTGTCCACCTGTCCATCTGTCTGACTGTCCACCTGTCCTACTGTCCATCTGTCTGTCCACCTGTCTGTTTGTCCACCCGTCTGACTGTCCACCTGTCTGTTTGTCCACCCGTCTGACTGTCCACCTGTCCTACTGTCCACCTGTCTGTTTGTCCACCCCTCTGACTGTCCACCTGTCCTACTGTCCACCTGTCCGTCCACCTGTCCTACTGTCCACCTGTCCTACTGTCCACCTGTCTGTTTGTCCACCTGTCTTACTGTCCACCTGTCTGTTTGTCCACCCGTCTGACTGTCCACCTGTCCTACTGTCCACCTGTCTGTCCACCTGTCTGTTTGTCCACCCGTCTGTCCGACTGTCCACCTGTCCTACTGTCTGACTGTCCACCTGTCTGTCTGTCCACTTGTCCTACCGTCCACCTGTCTGTCCACCTGTCTGTCTGTCCACCTGTCCTACTGTCCACCTGTCTGTCCACCTGTCCTACTGTCCACCTGTCTGTCCACTTGTCTGTTTGTCCACCCGTCTGACTGTCCACCTGTCCATCTGTCTGACTGTCCACCTGTCCTACTGTCCACCTGTCTGTCCACCTGTCTGTTTGTCCACCCGTCTGACTGTCCACCTGTCCTACTGTCTGACTGTCCACCTGTCTGTCTGTCCACCTGTCCTACTGTCCACCTGTCCTACTGTCCACCTGTCTGTCCACCTGTCCTACTGTCCACCTGTCCTACTGTCCACCTGTCTGTCCACCTGTCCTACTGTCCACCTGTCTGTTTGTCCACCCGTCTGACTGTCCACCTGTCCTACTGTCTGACTGTCCACCTGTCTGTCTGTCCACCTGTCCTACTGTCCACCTGTCTGTCCACCTGTCCTACTGTCCACCTGTCTGTTTGTCCACCCGTCTGACTGTCCACCTGTCCTACTGTCTGACTGTCCACCTGTCTGTCTGTCCACCTGTCCTACTGTCCACCTGTCTGTATGTTCTAGATCCAGCGGATCAGAACCATAACTCTCACCAGGCTCACAGTCGTTCCTCTGATCCAGAACCGCACGGCATTCTGGGGGATGTAGGCAGAGAATAACACGTAGACGCCTCAATGGATGCTGCCGGCAGATACAGGGCGGCCATCTTGGGTCAGACCAGAGTTCACACAGAACGTTTAAGCCAAATGGGAACATTTTTTTATTTTAGTTAATGTGTGTAATATATCGGATGCAGGGACGGTAAGAAGTTTGCTAACAAAATCTAAATTATGTATCAGATCAACAGTTTGTCCCACCCGGGAAACCAAGGTGGTTGGAGGCAGGATGACCTGGTTCTGAAGGTCAAAGGTCACGTTTAGATATCAGGTTCTCATATCGTGGCCCGTTTTAGGCTCCGCCCCCTCATGTTAGAACTGAAACTTTACAGTAATTTTTAAGGCAGCACTTTAAAAAGCTGAAATTGTCCAGTGAGCTGCTTCCAAACCAAATGACCAAAGTCTAAAGTCATGTGCAGATCGGGCTCCTGTCCTGGTAACCACGGTAAAAGGATGACGCTTATGGCCCGGTCTGACCCAGCAGGACCGCTCGGCTGTGTGGTTCTGATGGACCCGGGCCAGATCCAGTCTGGGTCCTGTGGGTTCTGTGGCGATCAGTACCTCATAGAACCAGAGGCGGGTCGGTGTGCTGAAGGGTCCGGGTCCTCTATGGGGGACCCAGGACCTGGTCTTGTCTCGGGTCTTGCGGTTCGGTTCTGACGTGTCTCTGCTTTCAGCCGAGTTCGTCTTCGTGGACCTGACGTCTCTGGCCTCGGTCCGGCACTTCGTCCAGATGTTCCAGAGCAGGTCGCTGCCGCTGGACGTCCTCGTCAACAACGGTGAGCTCCCGGGTTCCGGCGGGGCGGGGCGACCTTTGACCTGCGGGTTCCCTCTGACCCGCTCCTCTCTCATGCAGCTGGGGTCATGCTGGTTCCGGAGACTCGGACCCATGAGGGCTTTGAGTTCCACTTCTGCCTGAACTTCCTGAGCCACTTCCTGCTCACCAACCTGCTGCTGGACCTGCTGCAGAAGTCGGGTCGGCCCGGCCGCTGCTCCAGAATCATCAACATGTCCTCGGCGACGCACTACGGCGCCGACATCCACCTGGACGACTTGAACAAGAGGTTTGGACCGGCACCGTCCCGCCTGGGGACTCTGTAGAACCTGGTTAATGATGAGCAGTTTTGCTTCCGACCCAAACAGAACCAACTACAGCTCCCATGCTGCGTACTCCCAGAGCAAGCTGGCGCTGGTTCTGTTCACCTACCACCTCCAGAAGCGGCTGGAGGCCGAGGGCCACGCCGTCACCGTCAACGCCGTTGACCCTGGCATGGTGGACACGGCGCTCTACGACAACCTCTGGACCCTGGCCCAGGTTCTGAAGAAGCTGGTGGCCCGGGTTCTGTTCAGGGTACGTCTTCTTTTCAGCCGTTGGCTCTCCCTCAATTGGACCGGTACCAGAAGGCCTAGGTTCAGTTCCCATCCTGCTGGGTTGGTGAACCAGAACCTGATCTGAGTGGTTCTCCACGAGGCTTCGTCCTCTGGCCGGTTCCTCCATGAAAGATGGACCAGAACCATCAGGTTCTGCTTAGGAGGAGAACCACCATGGGCGGAGCTTCACCTTCCAGCAAGCGGGTTTCAAAAGGAAGCACCCCTTAAAACAGAACCGCCCCCGTAATGGGAACCGTCCCTTTAAATCAGAACCATCCCTTTAAATGGGAACCGTCCCTTTAAATGGGAACCATCCCGTTAAATCAGAACCATCCCTTTAAATGGGAACCGTCCCGTTAAATCAGAACCATCCCTTTAAATGTGAACCGTCCCGTTAAATCAGAACCATCCCTTTAAATGGGAACCATCCCTTTAAATGGGAACCATCCCTTTAAATGGGAACCATCCCGTTAAATCAGAACCATCCCTTTAAATGTGAACCGTCCCGTTAAATCGGAACCATCCCTTTAAATGTGAACCGTCCCGTTAAATCAGAACCATCCCTTTAAATGTGAACCGTCCCGTTAAATCAGAACCATCCCTTTAAATGGGAACCGTCCCGTTAAATCAGAACCATCCCTTTAAATGGGAACCATCCCTTTAAATCAGAACCATCCCTTTAAATGGGAACCATCCCGTTAAATCAGAACCATCCCTTTAAATAGGAACGTCCCTTTAAATCAGAACCATCCCTTTAAATGTGAACCGTCCCGTTAAATCAGAACCATCCCTTTAAATAGGAACGTCCCTTTAAATCAGAACCATCCCTTTAAATGTGAACCGTCCCTTTAAATCAGAACCATCCCTTTAAATGGGAACCGTCCCTTTAAATCAGAACCATCCCTTTAAATGTGAACCATCCTGTTAAATCAGAACCATCCCTTTAAATGTGAACCATCCTGTTAAATCAGAACCATCCCTTTAAATGTGAACCGTCCCGTTTAATGGGACCGTCCCTTTAAATCAGAACCGTCCCTTTAAATGTGAACCATCCCTTTAAATGGGAACCATCCCTTTAAATCAGAACCATCCCTTTAAATGTGAACCGTCCCTTTAAATCAGAACCATCCCTTTAAATGTGAACCATCCTGTTAAATCAGAACCATCCCTTTAAATGTGAACCATCCTGTTAAATCAGAACCATCCCTTTTAATGGGACCGTCCCTTTAAATCAGAACCGTCCCTTTAAATGTGAACCATCCCTTTAAATGGGAACCATCCCTTTAAATCAGAACCGTCCCTTTAAATGTGAACCATCCCTTTAAATGGGAACCATCCCTTTAAATCAGAACCATCCCTTTAAATGTGAACCATCCTGTTAAATCAGAACCATCCCTTTAAATGGGAACCGTCCCTTTAAATCAGAACCATCCCTTTAAATGGGAACCGTCCCTTTAAATCAGAACCATCCCTTTAAATGTGAACCATCCTGTTAAATCAGAACCATCCCTTTAAATGGGAACCATCCTGTTAAATCAGAACCATCCCTTTAAATGGGAACCGTCCCTTTAAATCAGAACCGTCCCTTTAAATCAGAACCATCCCTTTAAATGGGAACCATCCCTTTAAATCAGAACCATCCCTTTAAATGTGAACCGTCCCGTTAAATCAGAACCATCCCTTTAAATGGGAACCGTCCCGTTAAATCAGAACCATCCCTTTAACTCCTGAACCGCC